CAGTTTCCAATATTTTTCTTTTTGAAATAAAAGTACAAAAAAGGCAAGGCTTTATTATAAACTGACGCGCAGCGACAGTGCAATAAGAAGTTGGCGCATGTGAGAAGTGATTAATAATTTGCTCAATGAATCCCATAGCCGTTAGCACATATGCCTAGCGTACACCATTCAACACCTAATGAGATTGAAAGCAATTTGAGTGAACCATTCCCAACGATGAGAAATATCTAAAAACTTGAACTCCTTTATTTCACCTTGAAAGGCAATAGAAACATTGTCCCATTGAACTGAAAACAAAATCGACGCATAAAGATTTGATATAGTACATAGATAGAGTATTCGAATAAAAATGACAACAAAGAGAGTGAAGATAAAGCAAAATCGACTGCAAAAGCCAAAAGACTAGAAGGGGAAAAATTACACAAGAGGGTTAAACCCGCGCAGTGAGTGTACCGGATAATCTGCTGACCACTACACTACGCTGATATTGAAATAAATAAGACACAAAAGCAGTGAAGGAAAGTACTCCTTGAAAACGGCAAAATCAATGAGACGGCATGACATGATGATAGAATTTGATTCAACACGGACAACATAGACACAGAGTGCAACGAATGAGCATAGAAAAAAAAACAGCAAAATAACATTTAATAATCATTTGCTATGCTGCTCGAAAAACAGGTATTGAACAACAAAATCTGAGAATCCAGAAATGGCAAAAAATTAAACTGCAGTACGCAAAAGAAAGAAAAGGAGACTATTGCGCAATCTATAATAACGTTACATAGTTGCTTGCTCAGAAGATTGTCCTGGAGTCAACGCACTTGGTGCCACAGACGGACGACCGCTCGCTGATAGCGCACGGAATTGGCGGCCACCGTCACAATTTGCAGATGAAGAATCAAAACCAAGCTGCAGATCGTGCAGAGATTTTGTAACCTAAATTGAAAATGTTTTGACAACCTACGGCTACTTCTTTCCCTCTATCCCCTCTCAAAGTTCCTCTCTATAAATGGAGATAAGGGTGCGCCCACTAAAACAGTGTAGTTGAAATTCATCTAAAACAGGCTGAAAAGGCGAACTTGGTTTATTATCGCACATAGCACGGGAAGTTCTACGCAGTTTAATCTTTACAAACCTCAACATTGACAACTATCTCATTGCTCATCTAAACCGCTCAAAAGGTCAGGACTTACAAAAAAACTAAAATTGAATTTATCCTGCTTCCTATTTTTTAGGGTTTCGCTAGAACATCGTAGGTATATCCGAGCAATCTGAAAAACTGTTATCGCC